CAAATGAATGTTTTATATTTGGAATTCGTGATGGGCACGTAAATAGGTGCAAAGGAATTATCAGTTAGTACAAGTACTACATCAATCTTTGCAAAAATATGCATCCATTCAGTTGTGAGAAATCATTTGGATTGAGAAGTGGATACTGGTGTCTTTCTAGTAATCATCTAGTTCAGTTGAAAAATAAGCACATGTCCATATTGAATCATAACATTTTTACCACTATAATTAGTGCTGCACATGAGAAATAATTCATTAGATCGAGAACACTTAAAGCTTCCAATATGTTTAGTTTTTTGTCTAATAAACTGTGTCACATTAGGCATTAAGCGTTCTGGTTAGAAAACAAGTTTTGCATCTTATTTCAAATGTATTCTAGCTTTTACCTCCGTACAGCAATCAAGATTGAAGATGCCACAGACATTGTGATTTGACAACACTTTATCCAGCAAAACCTATTATTGAATCGTGCGCAATTGCTTGGTAGTGATCGGTTTTGAGTAATCCAGAATGGCCTCTACTTTGCTTCTAAGTGGTCGGATGCCTTGCGTATCAGTAGTATGTCCGAGAAAATTTAGAAGGTCGGCGCCTATTTGACATTTCTGAATGTTTACAGTAATGCAGCGTCCAGATGCTGGAGATGGGATTCTCTGTCCGAACTTGTTATCAAGCAGTCATCAACATACGCATGTACGAAGTTGAGACTTTGGTAAACGTCATCTATGAACCTTTGGAATATCTGGACAGTATTTCTCAGGCCGAAAGGCATTCGCAATGGTTTTTGCTTTCAGACGCCGATAATCACTAATTGGACGCCAATCGCTGTTATCCTATTTAGGGACTGTGTGCAAGGGAGATGCCCATGGGCTGTTTGACCGTCGTAATATTCCTATACTGCCAGGTTTTCAAGAGTCAGTCGGCGTGCTTTCGAGAATGCAGGTGGTCCTTTAGTCGTGATGTGATGTTTAATACTTCTGGTTATGTACGGAAAATTTGGTTGCAATTGGTATATCCCAGAGTACTTATCGAGTAATGTTTGATAGAATGAGTCTATTGTGTGCCTTATTGCGACTGGAGATAATCTACAACCTGAAGAAAGAGTTAAGCAAACAGATAACTTAGTGTTTCCGTCTGCTAGCCTCTGTTTGCGCGTATCGATGAGTAGATTGTGATATTTTAGGAGGTCTGTGCCAATCATTAGTACAGAAACATATAAAACCATGAAGATCCAGTGAATGAGTTTGTGTAAACCCACATTAAAGTAAACATAGCCTTTACTATATGTGGAGAATGGTTTTCCGTTTACCGCCTGCAAGTTTAAAACAGCCGGGGTTATCCGTCTCTTGATGTCTGGAGATAGATCGCGTACGTGAAGTGCTTCTTCGCGAGGTATATGACCGTTTGTTGTCATTACGAAATCTAAGGTAACGTGTAGGTGTATGACATAATTCTGTAATGTCATTCAGGTTCTTTTGAGGCTTTTTTTGACTGAAAAAACGTCGACATTAAAAGGTTTCGTTATTTCTGGGATGCAGTGGGGAAGTTGCAGCCTGCTCGTCTACGGCGTTGTTTTGAAACGAGATCAGAAAAGCTTGCGCCTGTTGAGGGGGTTTAAATAAGAAAAGTTGTCTGAGTAGACCGTCTCGAAAGTTCTTTGGCCAATTACCTACCCATTTTTAGGAACATGCCCGTCGCTGAACCATGTTGCAGGTCAATATTTATAAGCAGTTCATCCAAACTTCGTCTATCACTTAGATCTCTGTGTTTCAGAATCGACCGTCTTACAGTTTCGTAAGGTTCCGAGACATCACTAGTAAACATACCAGGTGTGACGTGCCTGTTGAATTCGCGTGGTAGTGCCTTGACTACTGCAAGGAATTGTGCGCGTGGATCAGTCATGCCGTGCTCGTAGAAGTCAGCCTCTGCGCAGCAGAACCAAGCTTCAATATTGTCCGGCCGAAACGGCATTAGATGAAACGAGAGTGGTGTAAGAGTCTTGACCTTAAGTAGCGTGAAATTATGTTCTTTCATGAATAATTTAAAGTACCTGGACGAACGAGGTAAAAATATTCGAAAACACGAAAAAATGTCACAATATGTGAAAAAAAATAAAGTAAAGTATTGTTTTATAAAGTTCCAAAAAGAACCAGACTCACAGTTTATAGGTGGGTGTACCAGATCACATTTGGCCCACCAATGAATATGTCACAGGCATTGTAATTTGACAACACTTTAATCAGCCACACCTATGATTGAATCGTGCCCACCCAGTGAAATCAAAAGTCAGAAGCGAGGAAGTTGGAAGAAATATTTGATAGATCATCACTATATCTATAAGTGACTGATCTAAACTGGCTAGTGATCGCGGGAGAACTTGAGCACGGTGTTCCCACTCGTGATCTGGTGAGGATGCATGACCGAGCACCTTCAACTAGGTGAGTCCATTAGAACCAATGTAGTCAGCACCCAATGTTGAACACTTACAAAGCTATTGATTTTGGGGATTTATTTACCGCTGCAAGATCATTTTGAAAAATATTGGAAAACATCTGGTCCAGTTGGTCAATCACATGACGATACAAAGTTTACTGGAGAGTTGAACGAGATACTTGATTAGAATTAAGAATAAATTGGATTCGATTATCAGACTATTAAATTTGAAAATGCATTTGATGATTCCCGACATTTTGATTGGAATATCCGGTGCATTATTTGTGCATTGATTAGTAGGACGAATGCTCAAGCTACTAAGTTCGTTCCAAGTTTTGTGAGAAATCAAATTAACATCGGATATTGTGTCCAACTGCAGTTTGATAATACGATTATTAGCATAAACGGATGCACGTTTGGGCAGCATTGAGGGTTATGCTTTAGTATATCATGTACAAAACTGATTCTTTCTGACTATATATAAGACGATGAGGGTTTTTTGCGTCTGCGAAACCCCGCTTATTGCCAGGCACTCTACATTTTGCGCATTTATGACTACTGAGGGGGCGAAAACGGGTGAATCGTCATGCCACGCAGTTTCAGCAACCAATGGGAGGCCTTTGTAGGTGACATGGATTGGAGCTCAGGATATAAAACACTCGATCTGGGCGAGAAAATTCTCGCGAATCATGCTTTGAGACATCAATGATACGGTCTGAATGAGAAATGTTTATTGCGTAAAATAAATTAGGGTTGAAGGAGTGCATATGATCAGGATTCAGACATTCATCTAGTTAAGTATCGTTCTTAACATTAATAATAAGACAACATTCATTTGTGATGATTTACAACATAATACTGGTTTCTGAATCTATTCTACATAAAATTCTGGTACGAATGTCTGAGTCTGACGATGATTGCAATCCGCTTACAAAGAAAAAGCATTTAAAGTCTTCTGAAATCGGATGCACCATCATCAGTTTTAAGATAATTATATCACAGAACAAATAAAGAAATGAGTAGTAGAATTTCTTATTGGCTTTCGCACAGCAGTATCAAGAAAAAAATCGTAGGGCTTTTTGGCAAGAAAAGATAATCTCAAAAAGCCTGTACTAACGTTGGAAAAGTTGCAAAATTCAGGCAATTGGAAAATCATCAGACATATCCAAAAAAATATTGGAAATTTGAAAGTATGCAGATTGTCTTCATTTGACGGACATGCAGACAAAAACAAGTTATATAATCTCTGGACCTGTTCTCTTAGTTGTTACGCACTCACTATTCTGTTCATTTTCTCGTTTTTTCTCTTTACTATCAAGCTACATTCATTAGTTCGCACAAACATCGGGAAAATAAAATTCGACAACATCATCTTTTTAGCATACATGAAATACTTAAGATGAATTCAGAAACTGCCTAAAAACAAGGCAACCCTTATACCTCGCACCTCGGTAGCTTGAAGGATTATATAGTACCCTCCTGCTCTTGATCAAAATTATTTAGCCCTTCTTTAAATCAGTTTGACAAAGCGTTTATGCTGTTTTAGTCTGTGAAATTTGAATTATTGCAATAAATAAATGTCTCTATGTAGGCAAACATGACTATAAATTGTTGGATGTGTTAACCTACATATTTATTTATCTTACTTAGATTTTATTTACTTGGAAAGCTCAATATTTCGCTTACATCTCTTTTATGGCTTGCTGACAACGTTCCTTAACTTTTATATCTCAGCGTGTGCTTCTAGTCACTTGATTTGAACTTTGTTTGAGATAGTCAGTTGTCACGGCTTTGTTTCGCATTCTAGAAATTATAAACCGCTGAGAACTATAATAATAATGACTATCGATTCAGTGAATTTACGAAACATCTGGGTAATTTTGAAGATTTCCTCAGTGAAAACTCACTCATTCGTCAACTTGAAGGAACTAACAAACCATCTGGCTGGGCGTAGTTGAAGTAAGTGGTCATGATAGCCCAGTCAGAGACCAGTGAATATATGAAGAGCTCCATCATTTTCAGTAATCATGTGCTATAATGTGTACTTATAGATGGCATGGGTATTCGGAGTTTGACAACACTCTCACATGTAATACCTTTATGATCGAAGGACATTAATCAAGTCAGAAGTCATAAACGAGGGTATTGAACTAAGATGGTGGTTGGAAACCCTGATCCTAGGTTCCTTGCTACTAGGCACTCGTTTCCAAAGTTTACATGTAATCTTAAGGGAACCGATGGTCCCTGATGGATTCGATTTCGTGTCACCCAGCTTCACAGTTAGAAATCTTATCACTGAGATGTGCGGGTCGCGAATAACTTTCTGTAGGACTGGTATGTATCTCAACATAGTTCACGCAATGTCGAGCCACCTAGACTGGTGACCACATTGCAATTTGGTCGATAGGACTCGATTTGCACTAAAAAGGAGTTGGCATTTATGACATTGATCACCACCCAGTAATCAATCAATTGAGAATGAGGTTACACGAAGGGTTATTTGGAAAGTTGTCGATATATTGAGAATCGTTTGATCTAAGCTGGTCAGTTGTTGAAAAAGATGAGTAACACGGAGTGCTCACTGGTGATCTGGTAAGGATGTGTCGCCTGGCATATTTAGCTAGGGTGTGCCCGGTAAAACTGATGAGGTCAGGACTAATGTTGAGGACTAATGGAACCATTCATTTTTGGGATTTATTTACCGCTATGCCGGTCTTAGAACATGGAACTGATGTTCGTGTCAAAGTTTAAAAACTGTGGATTTCACGCCGTACAAGATTTTCGTACAACTTTCAGAGATGTTGACGGTATCGGTTCTATATCTTATGTCTAACTCGTTTTCAGATATGAAGTCATGTAATTGGGGGGGGGCGTGTGATATTGAAATCTTTATTCTGTGACCAACGTAAGAGGGGTATTTGAGTATTTCTCCACATTAGGACTGGTCGATTATATTGAAATCGCCACAGCCCAATAGACGCACTTAATTTTCAGTTTCAACATGTCTGGGCAGGGAGATCGTTTTAACATATTTCCATCTCGGATGTAAGTTCTCTTATTTGTCCGACACTATTTTCTCTCCCTATAATCAAATAGGGCACAAACAGCCATGAAAGGAAGACTTAAAGGTGCTCAGAAAGGCCATAGACTTCTAAAACGAAAGGCAGATGCTTTGACCGTTCGTTTCCGTGGAATACTGAAGCAAATAATACAGGTAATTCTACAATAGTTTACTAATAGGTGTAGGCGAAACAATCAATGGGCGAAGTTATGAAAGAGGCTAATTTCTCGCTTGCTAGTGTTAAGTTCACAACAGCAGCAAACATTAACAGCCTAGTATTACAGAATGTAACTAAGGCTCAGAGGAAGGTCAAGACGGATAAAGAAAATGTTGCAGGTTAGAACATTAAAAACCACTTTACTTTCCAGGTGTGCAGTTGCCCGTTTTCAAAGTCGTTGTGGAGGGATCTGATAGTAAGTTTGAACTTTGCGAAGAATTGCGTGTATCTTCTGTACTGATTAACTGGGTCTTGCAAATGCAAATGGTCTTGACACCACATTATATTGATGTTCTCCAGTTCAGGGTTGATTAAATCGCACACATTGATTAGTATTAACGTGATTGTACAAACTTATATGTACACTTGTAAGCACATTGTGTCTCATGATATAATAGATTGAATCTATATTTCTGTGGACATGTTAAGATAGTGGATTGTAGTCTGGTCGTAGTAGTTAAATTGACTAAGATCTTAGCAGGAATTTGGGTACTGGGCGTAATACAATTTAACTTTTCTCAACTCCTGATCTTCCTATTTTATAAGAAAGAACAAGAACCTCTTGTGACGACCATAGAGGGATCAGTTTGACTAATATAATATCTAAAATACAGCCTATGCCAGGGAAGTCCTACTCGCTGCCTTCTCGTGGCGGGGGTGTTGTTCACGAAAGTGAGAGGACAAAAAGCGAATTTCGGGCACTTTAACCGAGTTGGTGGACACGAAAAGTCCACCTAGGGGATTTGGAAAACCCTGGTTCCAAAACAATGGTGCACATGGGCTCCAGGATCCTGATAGAACGAATGGCGTATGGATCAATCGTTGATCACCGGCTACCATGGGACTGCATTTCCTGCTTTGTGGATCAGACCTTTAGGTCAAAGGCTCCGGGTGTGGCCCTCTAAGAAAACCACCTGCTTCATTTTGGGCACCTGGGCAGTATCACAGTCCTCACACAAGTCGAATGAGATTTGTGCGTCGCATATGTATCTGGTGCTTCCTTGTACCAATATTTATGTGTATAAATAAATAAAAATATTAGCTTCGATAGCCATCAGGCTCTTAACCAGGACTCGTACAGAGCAAACCCGGAAAAAGTAGCTTGGTTTCTAAATTGGACATGGATGTGTTATAAATGTTTTCTGTGACTTGGTATCACGAGATTTTCGGTTGTCAACACTAATGAATAGAATGTTAATCGATAAATAAACCCCCATAGTATCGTATGGACGTATGATTGATTTCAGCTGTTAAACGATTAGAAATCAATATAAGACCGCTAACCAAATGAATAGTTTCTCATGTAATAAAATAACATGGTCATATAAAGTATACAAGCATAATAAAATATGTGGGAGTTTAGAGAAAGTTAGCTTGTAGGTCAGTCGTTCTCTAATCAATTAAGGCCTAACTGAAAAGCCTAATCTTTGGACATTCTATCAACATGTCATCCAAGTATTCATCCTTCAATAGGTTACGATAAGTAGACATACTTCGTGATGTCCAACTGTAGTTATATATTCCTTGACCTTAAATTATCGCTGGATTCTGTTAATTCAGAGGTTCTGCAGCAGTGTTTGCTACCAAAAGGCACACTAAAGTATATCAACGTTGTACAGGGTCTCTACTCAAACATTTTCGGTCGAGTTAAGGCTCATGACTAAGTGTTATAAAAAGTACCAACCTCGAATGGTATTCTTCAGAGTTACCCACTTCATTTTCATTGAACGTCGTTATAGATATTCTTTCAGAGATGCTTCTCTCATATTCTAACTTTTCAAGAGTTGATTTATTAGATTTGTTCGCTGACCTGGAATACAGACGAAATTGTTCTGTTTGATTAAAATGCTGGAGAAATGCGGTCTTTTAATCACCTTAATTAACAATCAGTTTCTATTCACTTGAATGGAAATCTCGCTTCAGGACTAATTTGCGTAATTGCCTAAACTAATAATAGGTAGTTAAGGAGCTGAGTGTATTGATTCACACCACTTATCTTGAAATTCTCGTTAACCCTGGTTGGCTGGTGTCTGATGAAACCTCGATACTGATTCAGACTTTTACTAACTTATGTTATTGGTGACGTAGGCGATGTATCCGTCTACCAATCAAAGGACAAGTATACTGCGCAGCAGTTCCCTCCATCCTGGTTTGTGGATGTGAAATAGCCATTGAGAATAAGGGATATCTGTAGGTTACCGTTGTTTAATCATTGGTGCCTTCTAGCATCAGAATATAATCTTAACTGCCGGTATATAACCACCTAGGTTTCATCACAAACACTATAAGATGTAAATCTATCTATACCTCAAATAGTCTGACAACACTATTGTCTTAGTCCGCTTTTGTTAAAGCAGTCATATGGTAGTATATTGTACTTGTCCTTTGGGGTGAACAGTTTACTTGAATTAAGCTTAGCCGTGGTGTTCTTTTTTTGAGAATATTTCATATCGAATACGTTTAATATGTAGTATTTATTTACTGATTAGTGTCTTTTGTTTGTTTCTTTCGCTGTTCTGTAGCATACGAATTGACAGGTTTAGCTGGTGGTGGTCAACAAATCGACCGACTAAAAAAGAACTACAGCAAAGCTGTTGATTTATTAGTTGACTTAGCATCTCTTCAAACGTCTTTCATTACTCTAGACGATATTATAAAAGCAACTAATCGTCGAGTGAATGCCATTGAATTCGGTAAATACATTTTACTCGTCAGCTTTTCTTATATTTGAGTCATTTGTTGCACATTAATGTTTCGTCACAAAATTACTTTTCGAGGCAATGTCAGTTGAATGTTTTATTTATCGTTTAACTAAAAACAAGGATCTGATACATTAATCAGTGTATCACAGAAAATGAGTCAACATCATTTTGATTACAAAAACAATAAATTGTAGTATATTAGTATCGGTCGGGAAGTCGGAGGGTGGTACATGTAAGATACATCTGGAAGCGTCTATTACTCCTTGGTTTCCATTCTTTTCGTTTTTTATCTAGAGGTTGGGGAATTCTTAAGATTGGTAATCGCTTTTAGCGCACTAGTTGTTTCTGAACTGTCAGCAAAGTGTTCGGTTTGCGTGCACTTGGTGTGTTACATTTAAAACAATTGCAATCTGATAATCAATCAGTTAGGTAGAACCATTTTTATTAAGGATAGAGCAATAATACACGCACCCCGTCTTTTACATTCCAGCATACACTGTAAGAACTCTTGATCAACATATACTGATTATTCTTCTACTGTTACTCTCATTTAACAGTGGGACTTTTATTTCTGCGATAAGTATTGTTGTGTATTAAACAATATATATATATATATATACATACTGGGTGTAGATTACTGACTGAAATCAAATTAATAACTCGAAGATCACAAATGAGTGTTTGAAAACAAGGCAAAACATTTTTTTACCAGAATAGCAATTACTTACTAACTATTTAGCACAAAATCAGTATACATAAAAGTTGTTTAAATCTCTGCTCGGTTTATGGAATTAGGGTATTTTGGTGTTACCCATCAGTCTATGAAACTAACATCCAACTATTACCCCTGATTTTTGTCTTCCATATCACCCCTACGAAGATATATGGGATCGTACACGGTCGAATTACGTAGTTACAGATATTCTTGAAGTTCTTTTCAACAAGTTGCATCTTGAAATTTAAATCTCAGCTTCTGTAGACAAGAGACACTGACATTGAGAAGTTCAAAATACATGTTGTAAGTAGTCCTCACATTTCTTCCTTCGGTTTTTAGCTCTAAATATATTAAGTTCTACGAGATGTTTTGTTATGAACAATCAGTTTATCTTTGTTAACATGGAACTAACATCTTGTTCAGATTCAATAGGCCGTGTGTTTTCGTTTAGATCTTATGCACTTGAAAGATTTAATCATTAAACATCTGAGATTTAACAGATAAACTAGATGATTGCTCATACTTTTGACAATTCTTTTTAATATTAATCACTGCTCTATCAAATTACAATCACTATATATTTTGTTGCATGTCTTTTTCACTCAAATGTATGTAGTTATGGAATTAATTCTGTACTTTTCCTTATACTGAGTATTTCGACATCTATTTTAGTTATCATACCGAAAATTGAACGTACACTAAACTATATCACACAGGAACTGGATGAACGCGAAAGAGAAGAATTCTATAGGTTAGTTTCATCAGACATATCATTATAATTCATATTTTAATCACATATTTTAAACTTTTTGTTGCATTTATGTGTTTGCCGATGCTTGTTTAAAGTTTTTAAGTAATTGAGTAACATGTAAGCAGAGTAAATATGTTTGTTAGCCCGAAATAATCATCCTGATATATCTTCTAATATTCAATAGTTGTGTTTAACTTGTTTGGTATATTTCTCATGCAAATTGATGAATTTCACTGTCACATATCCTACTTTGAGAGAGAGACGGTATAAACTCACAAAAATGCGCACAACGTAAGGGAACAGAAAGAGAATATAGGTAAGCAAGAAGATGCCAACCTAAACTATCGAAGTATCTGGAGAAATAAATGAGATAATGTTAGATTTAAGGATAAGTTTTGAAGAAAGATGAATTCATATTAACTGTTATAATCGATTTCAAGCATCGTACATTCCGTCATGAATGATCATTTATTCAATTTAGTTAGACGGGATTATCACGTATTGATCCATGTGTTTGAGCAGTGGTAAAGTCACTTAACTTTTAACAATTAGCAAATTCAAACTCCTATTGACCTGCTTCGGTTTGAGCCACGGCATACAATCGATGGCCGTCACACTATAGCATAGCTCGAAGTCGAATAAATTATACATTTTTTTTCTCTTTATGATGCACAAATCAACAGTGTAATTCTCAGGTGTCAGCTAGACATAGATAAGAAAGTTTGATCGATTGTAATTAAGATAATCTATGCAAGCCTAACTTAGTGCAACCTAGCATACGACAGACTTTTTACTCTGTATCAGGAGGAAAGCCATATATTGACAAAAAGTAGTATTGTGTTGTAAACGTAAGATCAAAATTACTTAAGATGATTGTATGTGATATAAAAAAACGTTTAGATCCGGCCATGCATAATCCGTTAAAGTTGTGCATTGACTGAAGTTAGGCTATTGAACTATTTAACCATATTTTTATTATTGCTAGTAGACAAGTGATTTGAAAACATTTTGAGCACTAAAGGAACCAATTTGTTATTTCCAGCAATTATTAGTTAACAATAAAATGGTCCCTAAGAATCTGTTCACAATGATTGCTAGTTATACAAATCAATATGTAACAGAAAATTGCACGTAAATAGAGAAGAATGGAGAAAAATTGTGTTAGTTGTCGAGATTGTAAAATACTAAGGTAATATTTGTCGCAGTGCAGTGTCTTTCTGAATTAACATTGTTTTATTAGTTTCCAGTGCACTTTATTTGTATGTTTAAAACTTATCACTTTAGCGGATTCGTTTACCTTTTATTCAACGGAGTTAATGTTTTTTTTTAAATTTCCACGTGTGTTTTGACACTAGATTGAAAAAAGTTCAAGAGAAGAAAAAACGTAATCGTTCCCTTAAAGAATTAGAATTGAAATCTAAAGGATTTGAACTAGCCTCAGCTGATCATGCTCCAAACATTTTAAACCAAGATGAAAATGAAGGACAAATTCTCTTTTAATTTATGTGAAATATTTTCGTTACATTATTAAAGCCGATGGGTTGCATATATATATATATATATATATATATATATATATATATATATATATTCAATCTGTCGATTCCGATTAATTATTGCATAATATAATATGTATACTTTAAGAAGTAGCTAACTTCTCATCGTATGCATCTACATATGTTTTCTCTTGAATTAGTTGCATTAACATATTACTTTATTGTTTAAAATTTTGATAATTTATGATGAATATAATTTGGTTTCTTTCAAGCAATAGTAATTTTTGAGTGAACAGGGAGGTAACCAAATAAACACCTAATTAATGTTTTATTTTTTTCTCCATAAGTCGGGTACTCTACTATAATTTCAAGTACTTTCCTGCCAGTAGTTATGTATACGTATTTCTGTTATATACTAGTGCATTGAATGGGACATTGTCGTCAGGCCTTTAACTAATAGCAAAGCTGGAAAAAACCGTAACTAACTTTATGTCAAGCTAATCGACAAGTCATGGCGAGATCCTTTCTAACGGAAACGTTAATTAAAAAATAACTATATATTGTTGATCTACCTGTACGAAGTCCCTAATATCCATCATTTGGGGAGAAACTGGAAATCTACTAGTATCGATTAAATTCTTTTAAAAGCTTACTAACAATCGGTAATTCTGGTTTCACGACCAAATTAACAACGTACCGTGCTATTTAGTGGCTAATTTCACCTTCAAGCTCAAAATAAGAGTGTTAGTATAAGACCATAATCAGAGTTCAAACAGAACATTCAGAAGTAGTCATAGTTCTTCCCAATATATTCCAGTGGTATATCGTGAGAATATTATCGTTGTTATCGACCGGTAATTGATGTTATTAGTTTTTGGATCCAATATTACCTTTAACTCTAAAGTTTATGGTTGCGAGAACAATTATATCTTGCCCCCAAATGCCCTGGTACGGCCGAGAGTGGGGAGAGTCTACTCTCCCTCTCGAAATGCTCTCATATGGCCAGCGAATATATAGCCTCTGCCAGGGAAGTCCTACTCACTGCCTTCTCGTGGCGGGGGTGTTGTTTACGAAAGTGAGAGGACGAAAAGCGAATGTCCGGCGCTATAACCGGATTGGTGGACACGGAGGGTCCACCTAGGGGAGTTGGAAAACCCTGATTCCAAACCAATGGTGCACATGGGCTCCAGTTTCCTGATGGAACGAATGGCGGAAGAACCTGTCATTGGTCAACGACTACCATGGGACTGCATCTCCTCACGATGCTCCACTGCCTTGTGGATCAGACCTTTAGGTCAAAGGCTCGGGGTGTGGTCCGCTAAGAAAACCACCTGCTTCGGTTTGGGCACCCGGGCAGTATCACAGCCCACACACAAATGAATGAAATGACGAACTCTATTGACGATTCTATTCCTGCTCATATTATGAGCAAGACAATTTACGTTATTATTATCATTATTATTATTACTATTATTATTATTATTATTATTACTTACCATATCGCTAATTCACCCCCTTTTACCCCCAATTTGTGTAACCTTACTCTTCAACTTATGCATCAGCTCGCTCTTGGTGGAAAATCTGTCCTATCTAAACGATCTCCAGTCACTGTCTGGTTGAAAGTGAATGCTTCCACCGATAATGAATACTGAGGCAGTCTTTCTGAAACCGCGTACGCCGTTCAAGCTGGCTTCCTTCAACGTTCGCACACTAATGCAGATCAGACAACAGATAGGGCTGGCTATGTCTTTGGAAGGTCTTAATGTTGATGTTTGCTGTCTATCCGAGACCCGTATTCAAGACTCTAGTGAAGTACTACAAATCCGCTCTCCATCTGTCTCGAAAAGCTTGTTCCACGTGCGCTTATCCGGGGACCCTGTGGCATCTTCGTCTGGTCTTGCTGGCGTTGGTGTCGCACTAAGCGCTAGGGCTGAGGCAGCACTAATCGATTGGTTCCCCATTAACAGTCGGTTATGTGCTGTTAGATTAGAAAGTTCCATCAAAGTGAGAAGAAACCGGCGTGAGAAACGGTGTCTTTTCGTCATCTCCGCCTATGCCCCGACAGATTGCAGCCCGGATGCAATCAAGGATGAGTTTTACCATCAGTTAACAGTTCTTCTCCAGAAAGCGCGTTCGACAGATATTGTAGTACTAGCCGGAGACTTGAATGCACAGGTCGGGCGTCTAGGCACAGAAGAGAGTCGTCTAGGTGGCCGATGGGGACTTGTTGGTCGCCGGACAGATAACGGGGACCGTTTGCTGCAACTGTGCACAGACCACAACCTGTTTCTGGCCAGCACTAACTTCCGGCACAGTCATCGCCGGTGTGCCACCTGGCGTCCTCCCTCTGCATCCCAAGCCTGGACTCAGATTGATCACATCGCGATCAGCTACCGCTGACGTGGTTGTGTACAAGACTGCCGCTCCTTTTGGAGTACCTATCTGGAGTCTGATCATGCCCTGGTCTGCGCCAATCTCACCTTACTTTTCAGTGGCCGAAGGATTGACCACCACCAACGGATCGATGTTAGTAAACTGGCTGCAACTCCTGTTGCAAGTAAGTACCGAGCGGAGCTAGCCTCTAGGCTAGCTACCATCCCACCGAAAAGTATAGATGAGCATTGGTTGCATCTTCACGACGCCATGAAAATGGCGAGTAAAGCCGCTTGCGGCTTCGCGAAACGTCCCGCTTACAAGCACTGGGTTTCTTCTGGCTCCTTACAACTGATGGAAGCCCGTCGGTCTACTCCGGGTGACCGTGAGTTTGACCACAAACGAAGGCTGTTACGTAATGAAATTGGGCAAAGCTTGCGTAAGGACCGGGAAGCCTGGTGGTCGGAGCGTGCTAATGAGATGGAAGCAGCAGCTGCATCTGGTAACTGCTGGAAGCTCTTCCAACTCATCCGAGCCACTGGCAGCAAGAAGTCTGGTGTGAGTGAAACAATCTACGAGGATGATGGGATGCCAATCACTAACATCTCCCGACGTCTTGGACGATGGGCGGAATTTTTCGAAGGGCAGTTCAACTGGCCTGCTGCTCCGGCAACATCAACCAGCTTGTCCTGCCCCCCATGGCCGGTGACGACTGATCCACCAAACGAGGCGGAATTCCGCAAGGAACTCCAACTCTTGAAGCGCTACAAATCACCTGGCCCAGATGGCTCTTTTTAAAGATGGTGGCGACTTTCTGACTAAGGAATTGACTGTGTTGTTTGGAAAGGTTTGGGAGCAAGAAAGTGTTCCAACATCATGGAATGAGTCGTCCCAATAGTCGTCCCTATCTTTAAAAAGGGTTCGCGTTGTTCCTGCAATAACTATCGGGGGATAAGTCTACTTCCGATTGCGTCCAAACTATTGGCTTCTATCATTCTTCGTAGGTTGTTTAAAACCCGAGAACGATTGACTCGCGAGGAGTAGGCTGGTTTTCGTTCTGGTCGAGGATGCATTGATCACATCTTCACCCTCCGCCAAATGTTAGAACACCGTCATACTTATCGCAGGCCAACAATCGTAGTGTTTCTTGATATCAGGGCTGCCTTCGATTCGTTGGACAGGACTGTTCTCTGGGATTGTCTATTGAAGAAGGGTGTGCCTGAGAAGTTCATTAACATCTTAAAGGCCCTGTACACGAACACCTCAGGCAGAGTGAGGGCATACAACCACCTTTCTCCCTTGTTCCATTCGAGCAGTGGGGTTAGGCAGGGTTGCCCGATTTCACCATTCCTCTTCAACTTTGTCATCGACGACATCTTGGAAATAGCTCTGATGGATGTAAGTAATGGCGGTGTGGATATGTTGCCTGGAGAACGACTTCTCGACCTTGAGTATGTGGATGATATTGTCTTACTGTGCGATAATGCCCAAGGCATGCAATCAGCACTTAATCAGTTAGCAATCAGTGTCCGCAGGTACGGCATGTGCTTTGCACCCTCCAAGTGCAAAGTACTTCTACAAGACTGGCAGGATTCTAATCCTGTACTCACCCTGGATGGTGAGCAGATCGAAGTAGTTGAGAAGTTCGTGTATCTAGGTAGCTATATAAGTGCTGGTGGTGGCGTGAGTGATGAGGTTGATGCACGTATAAGGAAAGCCAGATCGGCTTATGCCAATCTGGACCATCTTTGGCGCCTTCGTGATGTTAGTCTGGCTGTAAAAAGTCGGATTTACAACGCGTCGGTGAGAGCAGTTTTGCTCTATGCTTGTGAAACCTGGCCTCTCCGAGTTGAGGATGTTAGACGTCTCTCTGTGTTCGATCATCGTTGTCTCCGAAGGATTGCTGACATCCAGTGGCAACACCATGTTAGTAATGCAGAGGTTCGGCATCGTGTGTTCGGGCACAGAGACGATAATTCAATTGGTGTCACCATCTTGAAACACCGACTTCGGTGGCTTGGACATGTTTTACGAATGTCGTCCCAGAGACTTCCACGTCGTGCATTATTTGCCGACCCTGGGACTGGTTGGAGAAAGCGGAGAGGAGGTCAGTGTATGACATGGTGTCGTGGCATGAAAGAAAGCTGCAAAGGACTAGCTTCTGTTGGTCCTTCACGACTCCTTGGTTGGGGTCCGAGAGATGGTGCAACACAGTGGCTAGAGACGTCATCAGGTATGGCTCAGAATAGAAACCAGTGGCGATCCTGCTGCAACCTTCTTTTACTTTCTACATAAAGTATGGTTCTTACTTTCCTATTTGAAAGAGTCTTCTGGTTGTACATTTTAGTCCGCCTTATCTTTTCATCCCTTCTCTTCCCACTTTCATTATTTTGTGTGGCGCATATGTACCTGGTGCCCTTTTGTACCAATATATATGTGTTTAAATAAATAAATAAATATCAATTATATCTTGTAGCGCATGTTTACAGCACTGATTTGATTAAGTGAGATTGTATAAATGTCAACTAGTTGTCTTCCTGTAGATCTTAACTGGACAGTTGTTACACCCTAAATTGAGACTTCAGTACTGCGCATCACACCTTGGATCGGATCAAAGCTCTTTAGATCCGCTACTGAGCTGGATTGCAACGATGTACATTCCCAACTTCGATAAGTCTGATGACAATTCAAAGG